TGTCTGTCAAATAAATAAATAAAATCTTTGAAAAAAAAAAAAAAAGAGTCAGACACTTAAATGGCTGAGCCATCCAGGTACCCCTGTTAAGTATTCTTTTAAGAAAGCAGGAGATTGGAGCAGCTGGGTGGCTCAGTTGGTTGCCTGTCTGCCTTGGGCTCAGGTCATGACCCCTAAGTCCTGGGATCCAGCCCTGCAGCGGTTCCTTGCTCAGCAGGGAGTCCACTTTGCCTTCCTCCCCTCCACCCACTCTCTCTCAGTCAGCTCTCTCTCTCGCTCTCAAATAAATAAATTTTTTTAAAAAAATAGTCCATTCGGAGGGAAGGAAGGAAGGGAGGGAGGGAGGGAAAGAAGGAGGGAGGAAGGAAGGAAGGAAAGAAGGAAGGAAGGAACGGCAAGCATCATAAACCCAAATCAGGAACAGGGTTACCAGGATCACAACATGGCTGAACTCCATGGGAGCCACATCTGCCGCAGGTCATGAGCATGATGCAGCTAGTGAGTTCTTGGGAGTTCTGGTGGTACCTGGTTTACCTTCACTGGGAAGACAGGTGAATGGAAAAGGCAACTACACAGAAAAGTGGGCAAGGGTATAAACTGGCAAATTAAAGAAGAGAAAATCTGACCAAGACTATACAAAAAGATACTCAATCTCACTACCAATCAGGGAAAGTTTACGAGTTAAAACTAGGTGTCATTTTCCATCCATATAACTGACAATATTTTAAAAATCTGATGATATGAACTATTGAGAATGGGGTGGGGGTGGAATATGGCCTTCCTGAGCCTGTACAAATGTAAATTAGGCCATTTTTAGTACGATTGAGGAAAAACATACTTACGCTAGGTCCCAGGAGAATCCTATTCTAAGTAAACACCCTGGAAACACTTTCAAACACATCGATACCCCATAAGTGCCCATCACTGCAATGTTTGACAAAACCTAACTGTTCATTAGGAAAAGAAGAAATAAACTGGGAATAATTTATATATTAATTGCATGAAGAAGCCTGATTGAATGTATAAACGTGGGAAGAATCTCAAAAATAAAGTGAAGTGAAAAAAGTATCACATTATTTCTATTCAATTTTTAAAATTAAATTATCTCATATATCTCATTAATGTGAGAGACCTAGAACTTGTTACTTGTTTGTATGTAGGCAGGAATGATCTAGAAGAGTGAGAAAGATTGATGATTCAGGAAAGAGCAAAGTCAAAAGAATAAGTTCCTTGAGAAAGTGAGAGGAAATGGGATGCAAAGTGGAGGGATGGGGCCTTGTAATGTTCTTTAAAAACTTTTGGTGATTAGCTAACCTTGAGGTGTGGGATAAGTAAGGGGAGGCAGTGGAAAGGAACTTCCTTCTCCAGGTAATTTTTCTCCACTTAAACAAAGAATAAGCAGTAAATAAGTTGTAAGAGGACATACAAAATAAAATCCAGCCTGTACATCAGGGAAATACGAATCAAAACCACAGTGAGATATCACCTCATACCAGTCAAAATGGCTAAAATTAACAAGTCAGGAAATGACAGATGCTGGCGAGGATGCGGAGAAAGGGGAACCCTCCTACACTGTTGGTGGGAATGCAAGCTGGTGCAGCCGCTCTGGGAAACAGCATGGAGGTTCCTCAAAAAGTTGAAAATAGAACTACCCTACGACCCAGCAATTACACTACTGGGTATTTCGCCGAAAGATACAAACGTAGTGATCTGAAGGGACACATGCACCCTAATGTTTGTAGCAGCAATGTCTACAATAGCCAAACTATGGAAAGAACCTAGATGTCCATCAACAGATGAATGGATAAAGAAGATGTGGTATATATATACAATGGAATACTATGCAGCCATCAAAAACAATGAAATTTTGCCATTTGTGATGACGTGGATAGAACTAGAGGGTATTATGCTTAGCGAAATAAGTCAATCAGAGAAAGACAACTATCATATGATCTCCCTGATATGAGGGAGTGGAGATGCAATGTGGGGGGTTTGGGGGGTAGAAAAGAATAAATGAAACATGATGGGATCAGGAGGGAGACAAACCATAAGAGACTCTTAATCTCACAAAATAAGCTGAGGGGGGCCAGGAGGAGGGGGATAGGGAGAGGGTGGTGGGGTTATGGACACTGGGGAGTGTATGTGCTATGGTGAGTGCTGTGAAGTGTGTAAACCTGGCGATTCACAGACCTGTACCCCTGGGGCTAATAATACATTATATGTTTATTTAAAAAAAAAAAATTTTTTAAGTAAACTAAAAAAAAATCCAGCCTGTAACAATCTTGAGAGCACTAACAGCAAAGCCACTCCTCCTTTATTAAAAGAAAAAATAACTATAGGGGTGCCTGGGTGGCTCAGTGGGTTAAGCGTCTGCCTTAAGCGGCTCAGGTCATTATCCCAGGGTTCTGGGATTGAGCCCCACATTGGGCTCCCTGCTCAGTGGAGAGCCTGCTTTACCCTGTCTTTCTGCCTGCTGCTCTGCCTACTTGTGCTCTCTCTGTGTCAAATAAATAAATAAAATCTTAAAAAAAAAAAAAAACAACTTTAAATTTACTTACAGGCCCCAACCAAACGCATGATCTGCTTTACTCATCTCTTTATGTAAGAGTAAGTATTTGAGGGGCGCCTGGGTGGCTCAGTGGGTTAAAGCCTCTGCCTTCAGCTCGGGTCATGATCCCAGGGTCTTGGGATCGAGCCCCACATCAGGCTCTCTGCTTAGCAGGAAGCCTGCTTCCTCCTCTCTCTCTCTCTGCCTGCCTCTCTGCCTACTTGTGATCTCTGTCTGCCAAATAAATAAAAAATAAATAAAATCTTAAAAAAAAAAAAAAAAAGAGTAAGTATTTGAGCTAAATTAAAATTCTCATCTTGTGATCTGAAGTGGCATAGCCCTGTCGGCTGAAATGGAAATTTGGTCCACTAGGTGGTCTGAATTTGTGAAAACTACAACCCCCAAAACATACAAAAGCAGGAGCTCCTGCTCAGGGGAGAAAAGAACGGGATGTTTCTTTCTTTCCTATTTTTTTTTAAGTAGGCTCCACACCCAACATGGGGCTTGAACTCATGATCCTGAGATGAAGAGTCGCATGCCCCACCAACTGAGCCAGCCAGGCACCCAAGAATGTTTCTGCAGGAAAAATTACAAATCACAAATGTATACTCCCAACCCCACATACTACTTGTTAATCTCCCAGCAGTTTTTAATATTAATTAGCATTTTAAGTTAAAAACTAACTCAATTCATATAATGAAATATTTCTTTTTTTAAAGGCCAGTGACCAAGCTGGGTCTATGTAACCCATTATCACTGTATTCTTTTATCTCCTCCTGTAATCACACGTGATCATACAGTAATTTTGTTGGTTAAAAATAATACTGATAAACCCCTATTACTGGCAGATTTAACAATTTATCTGTAACCTTCTACAAATGACTTAAACTAGTAAATGCAACTGTATATCACCCAAAATGTCAACAGTATAAAGTGAGTTGACAGTTGTATGAAGTTGTATCATTTCAACATTTGAAACAATTTGTAACTGCTTTCTTATTGTTCAAATGCAAACAAATAGCCACTATGTGTAGCAAAGAGGAAGCAGCAGAAAATAAAAGTGCAGAAAACTTGGGAACTAGTGAGGACGGGAAAGAGAAGGGAAGATGCTCTGAAAACAGGCTATTTTAAAAATTTAACAGAGCACATATCTGTTATTAATAAACATATTATTTATTAACACATTAATAACACATTATAACACATTAAGGTGGGGGCATCTGGGTGGCTCAGTGGGTTAAAGCCTCTGCCTTCGGCTCAGGTCATGATCCCAGAGTTCTGGGATGGAGCCCCACATCGGGCTTTCTGCTCAGTAGGGAGTCTGCTTCCTCCTCTCTCTCTGCCTGCCTCTCTGCCTACTTGTGATCTCTGTCTGTCAAATAAATAAATGTAATTTTTTTTTTTTTTTTTTTTTTTTTTTACATTTTACTTATTTATCTGACAGAGAGAGATCCCAAGTAGGCAGAGAGGCAGGCAGAGAGAGAGGAGGAAGCAGGCTCTCCACGGAGCAGAGAGCCCGATGCGGGGCTCGATCCCGGAATGCTGGGATCATGACCCGAGCCGAAGGCAGAAGCCCTAACCCACTGAGCCACCCAGGCGCCCCTAAATAAATAAAAAATAAATTTAAAAAATAAAGATTAATGTGGATATGTGTCAAACAGGTTGTCCCCTTGAAGTACTTTCTTTGGTTTCTGGTTCATCTTCTTACGTTGCCAAAGGGCTATTTCCACAAGGTCCGTGGCTAAGCAGTCTTTGCAGACTTTTTATCTGGCCATCTAATCAGCTACTGCAGGACAGTTATGACCCAGTCACCTCCTGAATCACTTTATTCTAGAAAAGATGTTGTGAACTTACCTTATTTTATTAGTAAGTTCTGGCGGGTATGTACATTTTTCTGGAGACAACGTTATAACTCTCAAAGATGTTCAAAAGGGTCTGTGACCCCAGAAAATCCAAGGACACTGCATGAAGACAAATTCTCTTCAACCACGTGGAAACCCGTGGCACTGGCTTCCGGGCTCCATTCGGCCCCGGCCTGCCCTCCGCGCAGTCCTCCGAAGCGCGATCTCCAGCAGGGGTCGCTGCGTTGCCGCCGCCGCGCCCATGAGCCCCTCCCGGCCCGCTCTCTCCGCGGCGGCGCCGACGGAAGGGGCGGGGCGGGGAAGGGCGGGGCCTGGAGGCCCGGGTGCGCCAGGCCGCGGGGAGGGATCGAGGGAGGGAGGAGCGGTCCCGGAGTGCTAGTAACTGCGCCCCTGTCGGGCATGTTGTGACCCCGGCTGGATCCCACTCTGTTGCTTCCCGGCGCTCACTCGTGAAGTAAGGCGCGACCAGCGCCTCTGCCCCGCCTGTGCTCCTGCCAGGACTCCGCGTGAATCTCCCGCGTCTTGCCCCGGCCCGGCCAGCCTCGGGACGCCCTGTGGACCCGGGGGCTGCGGGAGCCGTGGGGATCCGGTGCGCCGCGGCTGTCCGCGCTTGGGCCCGGCCGCTACTGCAGGCTCCAAACGCAGACCTAGAGCTTGAGGACGCAGGTGTCCAGTTTCCTTTGACCTTGAAGACCCGGGAAGGTGCGCAGCCCGCGGGGGTGGGAAGTATGTCGGGGCAGCCTCCCCAGTTTCCGCGGTCAACCTGAGAGGTCTCCAGAAGGGACGCTTTTCGGTGGCAGTAGGCTGCAAAGCAGTTAGACCGGGTTCTTAATCGAGCAGTGAACAGGCTCGCGAACGTGGAGCGATTCCCAGTGTCCCGCAGGTCAAGGGCAGCGTTGCCTCTGTTCCAGACGTTGCTTTGCTTACGGCTTCGGCTCGTTCACGATCTTATCTACCCTGAAGATCTGACCACAGACCTCCGGGCTTCCTGCCGTTTTCCTCTCCACTACTCAGTCCACACCATTGGCAAAGAACTCTTAAAATAACACTTCTGTCAGGTCACTTCCCCGCTTAAGATCTTTCTATGATTCACATGCTCTCTGGGTCAGGTCCAAACTTTGATAGGTACGGCCTTTGGAGAGCTAGCCTTTTGCTCTTCAATCCAGCTCCAGCATTGTGGGATCTTTTCTGGATTCATTTTCATGCTTCATTTCTGTTGATCTACTTTCATTCCAGTGGTTAATTAAGCACTTAACCGTGTGCGACACTGTTGTAGGCCGTTGGGATTCAGCAGAGGAAAACAAATACGGATGAAGATTTCTATGCTTGAGGAGTTTATATTCTATTAGGGGAAACAGTCCAAAAAAGAGAAACCCGGTAAATTGATCGGTGAGAAGTGCTATGGAGGGAAAAAATAGGGCAGAGTAAGGGGAAAGTAAGAGGGCAAGATGTTTATTAAATAAAATTGGAATGAATGGACAGCATTGAGGTGATATTTGAGGAAAGAGTTGAAGAAAATGAGTTAGGTATGCAGTTGTCTGGGGTAAGAGATTTCTGGGTGCAGCTGGGGCAAAGACCTTACCCAGAAATGTTCCTGTTGCATGTGAAGAGCATCAGAAAAACCAGTGAGGCTGGACCTGAGAGACCAGAGGTTGAGAGTGGCAAGAGATTGGAGAATGGGGGGGACCAAATCCCATAGAGCCTGTAACCTTTTCTCACTGCTTTTGTAGGAGTGATACAGTATAAATTACTTCTTGAAAGAATCATGGCTCTGTGGAAAATGGACCCTGTGGAAAATGGCCTTTATAGTATTGCTGTCATCATCTGCCATGATGGCTTAATCTGTGGAAGTGGTGAGAAGTGACGGATGCTGGACATGTTTTGAAGATACAGCCAACGTAATTTCCTGACATTGGATATGGGTGTGAGGGAGGGTCAGGAATGACTGGAAACTTCTGTTCTCAGCACCTACAGGAGCAGAGTTATCATTCACTGAGATGGGGAAGGCTACAGGTGGAACAGATTTAGGATTGGGGACATGTCGGGAGTTTGTTTTTGGACCAATAAAGCTTGAGGTACCTGTTACACACCCAAGTGGAGAAGTCAGGCATTTGGATATTGTGTCTGGGGTCACCAAGACTGCCCCTAGGTTCACTGATTGACTGGGAAGATTCAACAGGACTTGGCTGTGGCTGGTGGCTTTATCACAGCAAAAAGATACACAGCATAGTCAGCAAAGGGAGAAGACTCATAGGACCAAGAGTGCAGGAAACTAGGTGGTCTTCCAAGAATCGTCTCCCAGACTCAAAAAGGATACGCTTAAGTCCCCAGCAACAGATTGTGACAACATGTGTGAAATTGGTCTATCAGGGATGCTCTTTAGAGCTTCTGCCCAGGTGTTGATTGCCTTTAGTCACATGGGCACTGTCTGCCTGGCATGTACCAAAATTCAAGACTCCCAGAAGGAAAGCAGGTACTCAGCATAAGAAACTGTACAAACAGTTTAGACCCAGCGAGCGACTCCTGTCAGTTCTGAGAATGCTGAGAATCCAGAAATCCAGGTTTCTAGAGGCCCACCTTGCAAGCAGGCCTTTCTAAGGATAGACTCAAGCCTGCTGTATTAACTCATGCACAGATACACATGTCTGGAACTTGGGAGAAACACCTGGAATGGGGATTATAGCTTGGGGAGTAGTTGGCATATAGGAAGTGTTTAAAGCCATGGAAGTGTTTGGTGTCTTGAGAAGCATTTGTCAGAGCTGACAGAACTGAGCTAGATAACGTGAATGTAGAAGAGAAGCAGGCCAAAACCTGAGCCCTGGGGCCCACCAACATTAAGACGCCTGGGAGAAGGGAAGAAACAGCAGGTAAAGTGGGAGGAAAACCAGAAGCAAGGTGTCCTGGAAGCCAAGTGAAGAGGAGGGGAGCGGTCTGTTGTCTCAGATGGCTGCGGCAAAGTCAAAGGAGACGAGGTCTAACATGACCTTTTGGGCTTAGAAAATGAGAGGGATTAAGAAGAGTGTAGACAACTGTTTCTGGGGAGTTTTCTTGTAAAGAGGAACTAGAAAAATTGTAGCTGGGGGTTAGTGGGATTAAGAGAAAGTTGGTTGGTTATTCAGTGAGAGAAATAACAGCATGCTAATGAGAGTGGTCCGTTAGAAAGTAAAAAATAAAACAGTTGTAACTTGCTGTTTCCCCAGTGTTCTGTTTCAGGCCTCCTTTGCCATGAGAATTCTTCTCTGGCATCTCCGCTCTGAGCTTTAGCCTCTGCAGGATCCAGTCTCCTCTGGACCTGGGTTTTCACTCAAGTTCTCTGACCGCCAGTTGACTTAACCACATTCCAGTTGAATAGCCGTTCCTTGAGGACAAGGACTGTATGCTTTATGTGCAGGCCTAGTCTAGTGGGTATCTGGCATATGCAGGCAAAAATTAGGTTAGCGTGTTTTCTCAATCTTATGTTCCTAATGTGCCAGTGTTTGCCAGAGCGAAGCAGATCACAAAGAGGGAGTAGATAATCAACACAAAGGTAATGCTTGGCTAGACATTTTGGTTATGTTGTTTTTCTATGCGAGTATGATTTTAAATAGTCACTTTGTGCTAGTAAAAGTTTCCTAGTGTAGGTAAATATAATGTATTTGTGATATATTAAAAAAGCAGCGTCATATCCAGGCATTCTTCATAAAAGATGACAGTGTGGTATAATGGCAGAACTTTGGGAGGGAAATGTGGGATTCCAGAGACTGACAGACAAGACTTCCCTCCCCCAGGATGTCTCCTCTTAGGATTTCTTCTAAGTTGGGGCAGTAATTCTTCCCACTCCTCTGCTCCTGAAACTATCCATTCTCTCTGGCATTGCACTTGGTGAAAGTTGGTTTTTGTTAAAGAGAAATGAGACATCTATTTCATGGAGTAGCAGAAAGAACAGTGGGCTTGGAGTCAGAAGACTGACTGACAGTTCAGCATGGTGGTAAAGAGCCTTGACTTACCCACAGAGCCTGGGTTTGAATCCACTTAGTATGTTTTTTTTAATATTTTATTTATTTGACAGATCACAAGTAGCCAGAGAGGCAGGCAGAGAGAGAGGGGGTGGGGGGGGGAGCAGGCTCCCTGCTGAGAAGAGAGCCCGATGGGGGGCTTGATCCCAGGACCCTGGGATCATGACCTGAGCCGAAGGCAGAGGCTTAACCCACTGAGCCATCCAGACACCCCAAATCCACTTAGTATTTGTGTGATCCTGTCACTGAGATGGGCTGTTAGGAAGGAATAAATGAATTAATAGGTAGAGCGGGGATTGACCCATAGTAAACAATGATCGTTAAGAAGACTTGTCATTGGAATCCTGGCTGTACTGGTTACTGGCTGTATGAACTAGCAGATTGTTAAATTGCTCCAAGTCTCATTTGTGATCATCTGTAAAATGAGGGCCCTGTGTAAAGTGATCCCAGAGAGGCTGCCATTTTCATCTCTGCCCACACATGCAGCCCTGGGCGTATTGTTCATTGTGGGGAACTTGCAGCCAGGTTCTCAGCTCATGGGCATGTATACAGCCTTTGGTATCACACCTGATAGCAAAATAGGCTTCGCTGAAGTCACTTAGGCCAGTGTTTTCAAACTTTTTTTTTACTATTATCTTTACTAAATACATTTTCCATTATGACCCAGTATGTGTGTAGGTATACTTACATATGTGTATATGTATTATAATGAAAGTTTCATAAAGGTAGTATTTACTCTGGGGCACCTGAGTGGCTCAGTGGGTTAAAGCCTCTGCCTTCAGCTCAGGTCATGGTCTCAGGGTCCTGGGATCGAGCCCCGTATCAGGCTCTCTGCTCATCGGGGAGCCTGCTTCCGCCCCCCCTCTGCCCCAACCTGCCTCTCTGCCTACTTCTGATCTCTGTCTGTCAAATAAATAAAATCTTCAAAAAAAAAAAAAAAAAGTATTTACTCTTACCGTATGTGATATACTGTAATCTACACATTTCAGTTTTAATTCTTTTAAAAAAAGATTCTTTTTTAATTTAGTTGTTCGACGGAGAGCAAGAGAGAAAGCATGGGAGAGCACAAGCACAGGGAGAGGGAGAAGCAGGCTCCTCGCTGAGCAGGGAGCATGACACCAGGTTTCAGGGAGCGATTCCAGGACCCCAAGATCATGACCTGAGCTGAAGGCACATGCTTCACTGACTGAGCCCCCCAGCATTCCCAGTTTTGGTTCTTGAAAAGTAAAAATTTTATAATGGCTCATGACCCACAGTTTGAAAAAGATAAGCAAATTATCATCATTAATGCCCATCTTTATCTTTTGTATTATAAGAGCATCGTACTAACCAGACATTTCTGAGGTTGATAGTAGAGAGCTCTGGCCACTTAGGGTTAACCTTCTTGTGTGTTTCGGATGGGCAGAAAGGTATGAAAGGCTCGCCCCATGAGAGAATTACTTTTCTTAAAACTACACTGTGAAGAATATATGTTAAAATTTTAACAGCTGTTGTCATAGAGTGAATATGGATGGTTTGAGTTTTCTTTTATTCTTTTCAAATTATCTACCTGAAAATATGTTTCACATAATAATCATTAAAATCTTCTTTCTCTTAAATTATGGTAATAAGAGTAGCAATTTCAACTTAAAAAAAAAAATCTTTACTTGGCAAAAAGTCCACCATTAGGTAACTTTTTCTTTTTCCTTTTTTTTTTTTTAAGGTTTTAAGTAATGTCTGCACCCAGTGTGGGGCTCAAACCCATTACCAGAGGTCAAGAGTCATATACTGTACCAACTGAGCCAGCCAGGAACTCCTTAATTTTTGATTGTAGTGATCCATGAAATACAAATTCTAGAAACTACTGAAATACACTGTTTTCTTTCTTTATCCCTGTTTCTATAAAATTTAAGGGTTTTTTTCTATGCATAGTTATTATTCGTTCTCTATTAAGTTAGATAGAATATGTATAAGAATGATTTGTCTCAATATTTCTCTTTAAGGTGCTTCCAATAGTTTCCACTCAGTATTTTAGAGCACTTGTGGACTTTATAACATTTAGAAATTATTTTAAATTCTAGTTCTGGGGGCGCCTGGGTGGCTCAGTGGGTTAAGCCTCTGCCTTTGGCCCGCCCAGGTCATGATCTCAGGGTCCTGGGATGGAGCCCTGCATCAGGCTCTCTGCTTGGTGGGGAGCCTACTTCCCCGCCCCCCGCCTGCCTCTCTGCATACTTGTGCTCTCTCTCTCTCTCTCTCTGTGTCAAATAAATAAATAAAATCTTTAAAAAATATATATAACTTGGAAATAGCTATGTGCTTTTGAGTGGGCTTATAGGTAATTGGCTGTTGTAGACTTTGTGATGAAAGGAGGAAGGAAAAATCTTTAAAACCATCATCAAGGAAATCTGTCTGAAGGTATAGCCTTGTCACCGTGAAAGTCATTCACAGACTTAAGGTTTGAGGATATGGACCATATGGCAGCCCTTCTCATATTACTGAATTACGGCCTCTAAAGCCATATTGAGGTACTTGGGAGAGGTTGCTACCATCATAAGGTGGTTTCTTTGAGGTAACTTAGGAATTGGCTGCTCTCTGGCGTGTCAGCACCTTAGTGCCTCAGGGTCTCTTGGCGCCTTCCTTTTCTACTTGCCAATGCCTCAAACAGTAGGAGAAAGATGGAAAAGAAGGTAAAAGGTAACTGTCCAGTCTGCTCCTTGCTAGCTCTGATTTGCTGGGGTTGGGGGTTGAAATAAAGTCTAGAGATTCACTCTGGGTTTTATAAAGTCATGACTTGGTGTCCTTCCTTGACAAAGTCAGTATTGTAAGGATGTGACGTATGTCAGCAAATAGTCTTTCTCTACATGAGATTTTTGATTTTAAGGTTTTATTTATTTGAGAGAGAAAGAGAGCAAGAATGAGGCAGGGAGGGTCAGAGGGAGAAGCAGACACCCTGCTGAGCAGGGACCCCCCCCCCCAATGCACAACTCCCATCATGACCTGAGCTGAAGGCAGTCCCTTACCCAACTGAGCCACCCAAGTGCCTGAGATCATTTTCTTAAAACCCTTGAGAAGAAGCGTTAATATTTTTCAGTAGTAATCCGTATCCAAGCCAATTTGGCAGATGGAGAAGAGGAGAACCGGTGTGTTCACACATCTCAGTATCTAGTTCCACCCTCCTGAGAAAGGCACAGCTAGACGACTCACCATGGAAAAGCGCGTGGCCCTGGCTACGTACAGACCAATGTGGTCTTTTGTAGGGGAGAACAAGTACAGTACTCATACGGAGTGTTTGTGGTGTGCATGGTTATGTCGCAAGAATGCCAGGACACTGCACTTGTAACATACAACTGAATTATTGTCTGTTGCAGGTTATACGCGCCATGGCTATGACGGGTGTCAGATTCCCTGCCAGAGTTCTGAGAAAGCCAGATGCCTGGATTGGACTGTGGGGCGCGCTGCAAGGGACACCTTCATCGAAACTCTGTGCTTCCTGGAATCGATACTTCTATTTTTCTAGTACCCAGTTAAACACATCAAATTGTAAAATGTTCTTCCATAACATTTTCTCGCTGAGACTCCCAGGCCTTGTAGTATCTCCAGAATGTATTTTCCCCTTTTCCATAAGACTTAAGAGTAATATAAGCTCTAAGAAGTCCACCAAGAAGACTCTGCAGAAGGCCGAGGATGACGAGGACTCTGAGGAAGAGAGTGACCGTGAGATGAGTGAGCAAGAAGAGGGGCTCGAAGAAGACCCCAGTGTGGTCAAAGACTACAAAGACCTGGAGAAAGTGGTGCAGTCTTTTCGGTACGATGTCATCCTAAAGACAGGCCTAGATGTCGGGAGAAAGTAAGTCTGACGTGCGTTTTATTATAAAATGCTTTGTCGTCTTGTCATTTTAATGTAGTAGTTCCATCACTCAGCCCGTCTGTGGTGAGGGGAGCCACAGATACGGGAGGACCTTCCAGTCACCTGTTGCAGTTGTTTCCTGCTACAGACGAGAACCCTGACTCCAGCAGCAAGGCAGGGCACCGCCGCACATCTCCCGTGCCGTATTTCCCTGATTCTAAGATACAGTCGACTCTTAAGATGAGCTGTCGATTTCATACCAGCGTTTTGAGGAAAGTCATGACCACGTTAGAGTATATAGCAAGAGGAAACCACGCCTGGGTTTCACAAATGCCACAGGGTAAGAAGGTACCTTTTAGAAACAACAGAAGCCGTGTCATGCGGTCAAGAACGCAGGCTGTGTAACTAGACCCTTCGTGCTCTGTGTGAGCCTGGGCGAGTTCCTTGAATTCCCTAAGCTTCGGTTTTCTCATCTGTAGGATGTAAAGTAGCACCTACTTTAGAAGTTGGTGCTTCTCCACCTATAGCGTCTTAGTGGATGGAACTAGAGGGTCTCATGCTAAGTGAAATAAGAGAAAGACAAATGCCGTATGATTTCCCTTGTAGGTGGAATTTAAGAAACAGAACAGATGAACGTAGGGGAAGGGAAGGAAAGATAGGACAAAAACGAGACAAACCATGAGAGAGACTTAACTCTAGGAAACAAACCGAGGGGTGCTGCGGTGGGGAGGGGGTAACTGGGTGATGGGCATTAAGAAGGGCACGTGATGGGATGAACACTGGGTGTTATTGCAACTGACGAACCCCTGAACTCTACTCTGAAAGTAAGAATGTGCTGTGTATTAAATTGAATTTAAATTAAAAAAAAATAACAGAGCAGTGCCTGACACATAGTAGGTACTCATTGTATGTTAGCTGTTACGAAGAAAATTCTGTGTGTTCATATGTAGTGCACAGAGATGTTAAGTGGAACTTTCAGGATCTCTTTAGTATTGTTCTCTCTGCTAGAATAATTACATAAGAATAGTGACCCTCATTGTGCATTCATTCGTTTAGCAATCATTGTGTGCATACTGCATGCAAGATAAGAACCATGGTATGGATAATATGTTCAGATTTCCATGTGCAATTTATACCTTTATGACCTAATTTCATGGTGTAGTCTAATTTTTTAATCCATGACACTTAAGGACTCATAAAGATGACTGAGCCCATAGGCCTCCTCGTGGGGATTTTGAATATTCTCTAAAATCTGGCCAGCTTGTAAGGGGGGGCTCTCTCTCCCCCAGAGAAGTAGCCGCTGCTGTTACAAGCAGAACCCCAGATGTTAACCACCTGGAGTCCGAGCGGCAAGAGAAGAGCTCAGTGATTTCTGTCCTCGCTCTCTCCTGGTCCCGATGCCTTAGTGACTGAGTGGAGAGATCGGCGGCTGCGGGATTGGAGTTTCCCCACCTCAGTGCAGACTCGCAGATTTGCTAATGGCCTCACCATACGTGTGGTGCCTGTTCTTTTCCTCAGATCCTGGAGCCCTTTGGTGGTCATGAACCCTGGGAGCTCCCGCTTTGCAGGCGGCTGCTGCAGGAGTCGGGGCGGGGGTACCCCAAGCCCTCCCAGAGCTTACCTGCCCAGTGATGTCCGCGCGTCTCTGCCGCAGTTTGGCGTCTGTTCAGAAGGGCCCCTGGGTCTCGCTGTTTGAGATAAACATGGGGGCATTTGACTCCCCCTTTCCCAGCAGCCAGAATGGAGGCTTTGTGGAGAGGCTGGTCACTGTCAGAATGAGCCTTAATGGCAGCTGTTTTTTGTTTTTTTTTAGACCTATGTAATTGTTTTGGATGTATTTCTATTTCAAAGCATTTTTTTTTCTTTTTTTTTTCTTTTTTTAGCAAAGTGGAAGATGCATTCTACAAAGGTGAGCTCAGGCTGAATGGGGAGAAATTGTGGAAGAAAAGCAGAACGGTGAGCTATTCTGACAGCAGATATTTTTGTCTCTTTCTCTGCCAGTACTCAGTGCCACCCCGACTTCCCCTCAGGGGGCATCAGTGACCCCTTGTGTGTGTCTGTGTTGCATGCTCTGTGACTCCCCAGAGGCCTGGTCAAGCTAGTGAGAATCACCTGCCAACTTGGTGACACAGACCACTTGCTCTTCTGCAGCCTTGATGTCCTTAAGAGAAAACTTTCCTTTTTTCCTTAAAATTTTAAGACGGACCACTATCACAATTCGCAAAGATCCGTTAACTGAGTCATTAGTCCCATGAAAAGCTAATAATGAGACTGAGAAGAGTTGATTGCGTAGCGATCCCGGTGGACTGCTGTTAGCTGAGTGGGTGTGTGATTCTGGTCAGTTCGGCGGTACCAGCGACACTTGCCACATGCCCTGCTCTGCGCGCAGAGCAGCCATTAGAAAAGACACTTCCCATTTTCTAACAGGTCCATAGCAATACTGTCGTTAAGTGAAAGAAATCAGGTATAAGAAAATGTATTTCCAGCATCCAGTGTTGTTATAAATCATACACACACACACACACACACACACACATACATACGTGTGTATAAATTGTGTATTGTAGAAATAAGTTGCATGTATACATACATCTGGAATTCGTAATACTAGTATTTATCTTTGGGCCATTATGGGTTATATTTTCTTCTTTCTATTTTCTGAATTTTTTATAAGTACAGATCACTTTCATAATTGGAAAAATAGTAATGATAGTAAAAGTAAATGAAGCACAATAAAAAGGTGTATGACAGAGACTGTTTAAAAAAAGTTTGGAAGGGGAATGCCCGGTGGCTCAGGTGGTTAAGCATCTGCCTTTGGCTTAGGTCATGATCCCAGCGTCCTGGGATCAGGGGGCTGCAGGATCAGCAGGAAGCCGGCTTTTCCCTCTCCCTCCTCTACTCCCCCTTCCTCATGCACACTCTCTGTGTCTCTCCATCTCAAATGAGTAAATAAAAATCTTTAAAAAAAAAAAGCTTGGAAGACACAGACAGACGAGGCATCAGCAGACATAATCTCACTCTTAGTGTCTAGAGAACAAATGTTCCCGGGAAGTCAGACACACTTTTGTAGGTGGCTTCGAAGCTTGTTTCATGTTTCACAACTCCCCTGGGGATGGGGGCTTGAGCTACATCCTTTTGCTCTGGGGCAGGAGAGGGTGTGAGCTGTTGGCCAGGCGCTACAGACGTGCCTCTGGAGATCAGGCTCCTCTTCTCCCATAATTGCTTTTGCCTGCTTGTAGCCCTGCCCCCTCTCCTCAGCCGCAGTGTTTCTAAGACAGGACCTGCTCTGGGTGCGCCACGCCTCTGTGCCAGGGCCTCATTTACAAACGCCACAAGTCCATCCACCCCCCCCCTGCTTTGAGACATTGTTAACTACAGTCTAATTGCTGCTGCTGCATTCTGCCTTGGGTGTTCTCTTGTCTCGGCTGCCTTCCAGATTTCTCCTGAGGGTCAGCAGAGGAAGGGGCCAATGTTAACACTCGACTGCCTTGTTACTAGGAGGCCTGTAGCCATAGTAACTGCAGCTAAGGGGAGATTTGAAATGTAGATATTTGGAACAGCCCTTAATCCCAACCAGTGTTGCTTTGTGTCTGCTGTGCTGTCTCCCGCATGAAGGAGGACAGGCCCTTGTAGGGAATAAAGGACACCTCCCTTCCAAGGCCTGCCGCACGGGGTTGTGCCTGGCCACCGGCCCTGAAGGGTCAGACGGGTTTGTGGTGCTGCAGCTCCGAGCAGGCCGCCTGTCTGTGCGAGCCAGGGCCTGCTGACTTACACAAAAGGACTGAAGCTTCCTAAACTCCCTGCTCCCCAGGATTGACTGGCTAAAGGGGAAGCCTTCCTTCCCTGCTCGCTGCCTTAGAAGTAAGCTCCCAGAGGCCTCTGCTGCTCAGCCGCACGCAGGACACAGAGCAGATTGTGAAGGGACACAAAGGAGGGTTGCAGTTGGCTCTGTGTATATTTTGTATCACATGCGTATGTTCTTATTAAAAAGTGAATTTTAATAAAGCCATGCTGAAAAATGTAAAAGCATTCAAAATGCTCTCAAACCTTGTATTTCTGGACACTGATTTTTTTTAAGATTTTATGATTTTAGAGAGAGTGAGAGAAAGAGAACACGAGTGGGGTGAGGGGCAGAGGGAGAAGGAAACTCCCTGCCGAGCAGGGAGCCCAATGTGGGATTCGATCCTGAGACTCCAGGATCATACCTGAGCCAAAGGCAGACGCTTAACTGACTGAGCCACCCTGGCGCCCGGGACATTGATTTTAAATGTCCACACAGTTGGGGCAAATGGTCTTTTTTTTTTTTTTTTTTTTTTTTTTTTTTAAACTCATGAGAACTATAGGAGGACAGCCCCCCCCCCCCCCAGATGATGCCTGGGTCAGCCCATCCTTCAGACCCAGGGGAGAAGCGGTCTTCATGCTTCCTGGCAGTTGAGCCTTTTTGCTTCTTAGCCCAGAGGGGAGAAGGTTAATGGTTTATAACCAGCTCTACGTGAGTTTCGCATGTCACTGCTCTAGGCTGACAAGCGTGGCATGGTGGCAGAAGTGTGTATTCCCACGTTGTGGACTGAATACTGGGCCCTTGAATGGGTGGGAGCACAAATATGAGTTTGCCCAGGTAAGGTGCAGGTGTTTTTGACAGCATGAATTTAGGACTGCCTCAGAGAACATTAATCAGAAAATAAGGTAAAAGTGGCACCATATTTCTTAAACAGAAACCTCCAGTAGACTCTTAAAATGGCCACGTGTGCACACTTCGAGTCCATGGCCCACACACATGGGGTTGCTGCCCACCTCCTGGGAAGCAGTGGTGAGTGGTCTGAGGTGGCCCCAGTCAGTCCTGGCTTGTGTCCTACCAGAAAGAGCATATGACACCTGGGTCCATTTAGCTCCTTCCCGAGTCACTGGGCAGATCCTGAAATCCTGACCTGCCAGGACCAGGTGCCTACTATGGGCTGTCCCTGGCGACACTGCTGTGACTGCCCTGGGACATGACCAGGACTACTCAGCCTAAGGGTCCCACCTGGGCAAGAACGGGTTTGACGTTAGCCCTTTGAACCCATTGAGTCAGCATCCAACTTGATCCTTCTGTCTTTGTGAACTGAGTCCTGTCTTCTTGAAGATGTGGCATCACCAGGGCTAATCAGTGCTAGAGAAGAAGTTCACCATATCTCTAAGAGATACAGCTGAATGTTCTTCCATAGCGGCTAATTTTCAAAGGACTGCCCCATCCCCAGTTACATAGCTCATCTGGGTCGAAATCAATGAAAAGTTACACTGGAAATTATTTTCTCAGTGCTGGCAGTAGTTACTATGCACAAACTCTCTGATTGTGCCCCACTCTCTTTGCCTCTTGTCACCGTTACCGAAACAAATCCCTCCTTGTGTTTCCTTCAGTCATCCAGTAGAGGTGAGTGAGTGGGCCACACCACACCAGAACTGCCGTGAGCAGGCAGCGGTCTAGGTCTGATGGAAGGACACGGAAGGCGTTGGGCACGAGTGTTGGAGGCATCCTCTGAGCGAGGCCCTTTCACCTGGAGGCACCAGGGATAAGGGACGGTTTCAGCAGAACCACTACCTTTCTCACATGGCCCTCTGGGTAATGATGGTTCCCGGATAAAAACTCAAAGCAAGGACATTTTCGGGGCACCTGGCTGGCTCAGTCAGTGGAGCATGCAACTCTTGATCTCAGAGCCGAGAGTTCAAGCCCCATGTTGGGTATAAAGATGACTAAAAAAATAAACTTAAAAAAAAAAAAAAAAGGACATTTGCATTAGCCTGCGTTTCCCAAAATGCGATGAAGGCTGAGTTTTCTTTCCATTTTCAGGTGAAAGTGGGAGATACATTGGATCTTCTGATTGGAGAGGATAAAGAAGCAGAAACAGAGACAGTAATGAGGGTTCTCCTGAAAAAAGTGTTGGAGGAGAAAACAGAAAGTGAAAAGTACAGAGTGGTGTTACGCCGGTGGAAAAAGTTAAAGTTGCCTAAAAAGAGTATGTCTAAATAAATGGATTGCTTTATATTAATAAAACTGCTTTCTAGTGATGGAGGGAAGGGCCAGCTTCAAAAGAGGACATTTTTATTAAAATAAAGTCACCTCACCTTTAGTGGAATCTGCGGAGCTCTTTTATGGAAATGGGGATCCATAGCTTGGAGACACTGCCCGTGCCCTGGAATCCTCTCCAGAGCTTGATTTGTGCTCGCTTTGACCTCATTTTGGCCTCGTGAGCATGAATGAGACGTGTTCTGAGTGAACGAACCCCAGAGAGAGTTTTAATGCCAAGCCTGCTGTTCCACACAGTAACTACCTCGGGAATCTGTGTAAAATAAACTGGCCTTGTTGTTTATGCCTTCGTTTCAGTTTTATCCCTGCTGACCAGCTTCCCTGGGTTCAGACTTCTTAATGGCAAAACCAGTTGAAGTCAAGGTCACCCTTCATATCCGTTGGGAGACCCCTTTCTCCACCAGCCCTTCTGGATTACCGATTTGTGAGCTTTCGTTCCCTTCAGTTTGTCTTCAGAAGGATAGATATGTGAAGTTGTCCAACTCACTGCAAATGGGCTAGTTAGGGCCCATTTAACAGTAATCGTTTAGGGCAGGGGGCCCCAGAGGCCTTTTTTATGGAATTCAAGAATGGTTTTTACACTTTTAAAACACTGTTAAAAGGAAGGAAGGAATGTATGAACAGAGCCCTTAGGTAGCCCACAAAGCCTAAAATATTTACTATCTGACCTTTTACAGAAAAAAAATAGGATGACCCGTGTCCCAGCTTAGGATAATAAGCTGAGAGTTTAATTTTCAGGTGAAAGTAGATTTTAGTAGTACGTTTTAAGGGAAGCACAGATATTATCAACGAAGAGAACAAAGAGAGACCGATTATTCTAATTCTCAAGAAAGTGCTATAAAAAGGAGAAAGCCTAAAAAAATAATAGTATTAGAAGGGACACACACATAATATACGTCATCTAAGGGGCGCCTGGGTGGCTCAGTGGGTTAAAGCCTCTGCTTTCGGCTCGGGTCATGATCCCAGGGTCCTGGGATCGAGCCCCGCATCGGGCTCTCTGCTCAGCAGGGAGCCTGCTTCCTCCTCTCTCTCTGCCTGCCTCTCTGCCTACTTGTGATCTCTGTCTGTCAAATAAATAAATAAAATCTTTAAAAAAAAAAAAAAATATACGTCATCTAAGAAAAGGACATCTGCAGAAATAAACTGGTTTGTAGACTCCCAGGAACAGTTTCCTAGCACTAGAAGAGTCCGCTCAAGTAGAGACCCATGAGATGGTGTCATGGAAAAAAGACTGGCTGTGCCTGGGTCCTTTTATTGCCCTCCAGGAATTCTTGAGAATTCAGGTTAACTGACAATGAAGGGAAACTTCTGTGGCCCAAAGCAGGGGGATGTCTGGGCCCATGAGTATGGAGGCCTTAACACCTTGAATTTCAGAAGGCTCCAAAAAACTGATCTTTATTTGAAAGCTTAAGTAAGCTCTCAGGAAGAAAGACTACATAATGTGCAGAGCAACAGAGGGAATGTTTCCGTTTTACCACTTGTTAATTGGGCTTTACTGAGTTACCAGTAAAAACTTTAATTTTAACAGGACTTAGTTATAATTTAGGAGACTAATGTCTTTACTTTTTCTCATTTCCTCTACCTCCATCCCTGTCTCGCTCTCCCTCTCTCTTCCTCCTTCCCACTCTCCTCTTGATTTCTCTTTAGAAAGTTGTAGAAAGACTAAGAAGTCTTGTGTGGTGAGTGGCAGCATGACCTAGGGATGTGTCAGGGGTCCTGGTTTTTAGGCTCAGTCTTGGCATTAGTAAGTCGGGTTACCTTGGTTACAGTTTGACCTCTGTCTCTGGGCTTCCGCTTCCTCATTGGTCAAATGGGGACCAGGGTATAATTGCTTTACCTTGTCATGTGTTCAAAGGAAGGAGAAAATCAAAATGTGTTGTATGAGGTAAGAGGAGCTATTGCTAGCTAGGAAGCAGGAAAAGCCACTTGAAAGGCTTTTTGAAGCTTTTGGTAATTAGGACCTCACCTAGCTGCTTGCAGTGTTCAGGGCCGCACGCCAGACCTCTCTGTTTTAAAAAATCAAACTAAAAAAAAATCTCATGGAGAATGTTGGTTTGGCGGGGGCACATGGCAAACAGCTCTTACAGTTGTCTGCAGTGCGAGGGACTTGGAACACGGTTATGAAATAGCAGAAACAAAAGCAATTCATAAGGATTCACAGAACTCTCGAAACTCACCCATTACTTGACCCAAATGACGGTTGCCTTCTAATGCCACAGTGGCGACGCCACCTCCGGGAAAATTAAAATTGGAAAAGATTAAAGATGTATATGTTTCTAGTGCAGTGGTTCTCAACCAGGGGTGAATTCACGTTGGGCAATGTCTAGAGACCTCTCCCGGGTGTCACAGCCTGTGGAGGGGGGTGGTTAGGGACATCGAGTAGATAGGGACCAGTGATGCCTCTACATGTCCTACAGTGACAGGACACCCCACAACAAAGTTACTGGACCCCAAATGAGTAGAGATGAGGTTGAGACACCCTGCTCTAATGGGACGGCAAGTTTGTTTGTTTTTTTTTAAGTTATGACTACTTTGGTAGAGGCTGATCTAGCCCTTTTATCAGTAATGATGGCTAATTCTTTCAAAGACGTAGCTGCCCTCTAGGAAATATGACGCTAATAGCATTTCTCTGCCAAATAGCATCTGTTGTCTTCCCTGGAAAATTATATAGATGGATGGCTAGGCTATCGTTTCATCATCTTTTTAACATTTCGTAGAGAAAAGTAGACATTTGGGGGATATTTCTTAAGTCACAGTTTATTTGGTTAGTGATGACTGGGAAGATGGAAACATAAGTAGCATTTTCTAAGAAGCTTTGAAAAGAAAGATTGCGGTTGGAGTGCTGGTGTACGTTCCGTGAACCTTCTAACGGTGCAGCCCGTATCCGGCAAGTAAAGTGACACTCGGCTCAAGTTCGGCCTCATCTCGGTCACACACATTTGGCTTGCAGAGAGGTGCCGTCAGATTATCAATGAGCTTACTGACAATCGCCAGGGAGTAGTGTAGGACATTAGAAATTCCATGGAGTGGACTTGTGAGCAGAAAAAGGGCATCTCCCAAAATGCTTTCAGCAGGTCACATAGGAAGCTTGGAGTCACCTGTGGTAGTATTTTCACCTTGGAAATCGCAATCACCAAAAACCAGTACTTATTTTTCCCTTGGAGAGTCATTTCTTTTTTTTTTTTTTTTTTAAGATTTTATTTATTCATTTGACAGAGAGAGATCACAAGCAGGCAGGGAGGCAGGCAGAGAGAGAGGAGGAAGCAGGCCCTCCGTGGAGCAGAGAGCCCGATGCGGGCTTGATCCCAGGACCCTGAGATCATGACCTGAGCCGAAGGCAGAGGCTTTAACCCACTGAGCCACCCAGGCGCCCCTGGAGAGTCATTTCTTAAACATCTAGCAGCACATCACTGGGTGGGACTGCGGAGACACACCCAGAAGTTTTCCACTGGAAGTGCCCAGCACTGTGTGTGAAGCCTCACCCAGCCCCCGCACCAGCCGGCTTGCTCCCCTTGGCTAGTCTTAGGTGCAAAGAGATGCGGTTACTTTTGCCACGCGTTCTTCGTAAATTCTTCTCCTGCACAGGAAAGGCCCCACAACCTGCTGTTCCTTCTGCCGTTGGTAGCTGCTACTCCATAATCGCCCCCTGGAATTTCTCTGAAGGCCCTGAGGTTGGAGGCAGCTTTCCGAAACTGCCGCTTTCCTGTTCCTCTCAAAGACCTGCACGTTGGGTTAAGGGGTTTTTTGTTCGTTTTTGGTTAAGCAGGCGTATCAGAAGCAGGCCAGTGAAAGTAGGAATTTGCAAGGTCATGCAAATGTCCTCGAGGACATGGGCCACACAGGATGCCCTTCTCGATTCTTCCGTAGAGACGTGATCTGTACCCAGTGGGCTTTCTATCTTGGGACTTTATTTTTTCGGAGAGAGTGTGGGGTGGGGGGGGGGGTGGGCAGAGGGAGAAGAGGAGAGAAAGACCCTTAAGCAGACTCCACACCCAGCAAGGAGCCTGGTGTGGGGCTCGATCTCCCGACCCTGAGATCATGATGTGAGCTAAAAAATCAAAGAGTCGAATGCTTAACTGACGGCACCACCCAGGAGACCCTCCTGGGACAGAATATTTTTTTTTCTTTTTTAAAGATTTTATCTTTATTTGACAGAGAGTTCACAAGTAGGCAGAGAGGCAGGAAGAGAGAGAGGGGGAAGCAGGCTCCCCCCCCAGTCCCCCGCAAGCAGAGAGCCCAATCTGGGGCCTGAACCTAGGACCCTGAGATCACAACCCGAGCCAGACGCAGAGGCCAAACACACTGAGCCACCCAGGCGCCCCCTGGGACAGAATTCTTAAAGATGATGAGACCTTCCCCAAGGCAGATAAGTGAAGCCCCCAAAACTGCAGTCAGGGTAGAACAGCAAGTATCTAAAATGGGCCATTTCTGTTTAGAGTTCTGGACTGGGTAATAGTGATTTCCAGAACCCCACTCAGAAGGCTTCCTATTAGATACTTCCTGCCCCTTGCAATGCATAGATTTTTCTTTCGGACGTAGAGGAGAGCCCTTACCTCTTGATTCTGATGCAGAGACGCAAAAGGTGAGGCTAAAATGACAGCAGCCAACTCTCCTTTGAAGCAACACAACCAGCAACAACCCGACGAGAAGACGCCCGTCGCCAGGGGTTTTGCATCGGCCAAGGCACAGGCCCCCTCGTGCCCGCGCTGTGCCTGAGCTGAGGCTTCCCCACATCCACGCCGAGGAGGAGACTTAGGTTTAATACCTGTGTCAGAAGTAGCAGGAACCGAACACCAGGAAGACCAAGGCTATGGAGCTCTGCAGCCGGCATTCACAGCCTCTCAGTGGGAGCGTTTCCAGTCTGGGAGAAGCAGGAGAGTCGGGAAGCTGTGGGCCTGCGGCTGCCTCAGGCCGGAGCCCAGCCCTCCTCCATCTGCCGTGGCCTCAGCTTTTGGCACTGAGCCGAGGAGCCCAGCTTCACAGTCCGCTTATTACCCACATGCAGCTTGGAATTCCATTTCAGGCAAGAGAGGTTAGGTTTGG